CCCTTTGTGCCCCACCACAGTTGCTTTCCACAGGGATTGAAGACTGAGGTAGAACTCTGTCAATGTGTGCTAGAATTTTGCTCACTGGCCCCAAGGTGCTCAGCCCTGGGTATTTCCCTTTGGTTTACCATCTGCCTTGGACAGTGACTTGTGTGGCTCTGCCCATGCCCTGCCTATTTGCACATTTGGACCTGGACTGTGATCCTCTGAATCCAACCTGTTTAACCTGTTTCTATTCCAAACTGGAGAGCTCAAGAAACTAGCTTCTTCCCCTAGGGCCAAGGTTTGGCTTACTCAGACCAGACAGGCTGGGCTTGTAGACTGATGGCGACACAGAAGGAGAAGTTTCTAGCTAGGATCTCCTCAACTCCAAGCTTGTTCATCCAACTGTTTCCTAAAGAGGAAAGCTCTATCTGGATGTTTCAAAGCAAAGCCTCACACTGAATGTGCTCACTCTCTTCCCTCTTCTTACCCACTTATCTCTGCCTACCTCTCCATTCAGGGCTTACAAGGCTTGTTACCATGCTTTCACTCCAGACTTCCCCATTCACCATATTCAACAGCTCCTTCCTCCGAAATCCCAACTCTTCTACATGTAGTTCCCACAATGCCTCTGCTCTCAGCCAGGCCCTTACTGCCTTTCACCAACTTACCATATGACCTCCTTGCCTGGACACTCTCCTCCCCTCCCTGAGTCACACTATGCTGCATTCTGACTCATTCTTGCAAACATTCCCTGGTATGTTCCCTCAACACTTCCCATTGGGATTCTTTCTCCTGACCTACAACCTACCTGTATTTGCACAACCTTCTCTCATTCAAATCCACAGTGGGCTAAATAGGGAAAACCAAAGACAATTAGATTAACCATCTGAGGACTCACCCTTGTCCCCATTGTCCCCCATTCAATCCCTTTACTACGACATGGAAGTGATGTAAACCAAGAGACCAAATGGCTGAGCTTGCTCCCCTCTGTGGGCTTGAGGGAACTATGGGATCTCAAAAGACATGTGTCCAAAAAACAAGGACCTTCTGGAATTGATCTGGATATAATGTTTGTAGTACAGTAGCTGACCAGAGAAAGGATAAAACTCTTTTTTTTTTTTTGGCAGTCACAGGGCTTGAACTCTGGGCCTGGACACTGTCCCTGCATTCTTCAGCTCAAGGGGAGTGCTTTACTGCTTGAGCCACAGCACCACTTTCGGTTTTCTAGTGGCTTATTGGAGATAAGAGTCCTGGGCTGGCTTTGAACCATGATCCTCAGATCTTAGCCTCCTGAGTAGCTAGGGTTATAGGCATGAGTCACTGGCACCCGGCGGGATAAAACTCTTTGCCTTGGTTTCCTTTCTTTTTGATTGTTGCTGTCACATGCCTTCTTTTCTTCTGGGATTCATTTGTCCCCATTTATTTATTTATTCGGTTGTGGGGCTTGAACTCTGGGCCTGGGCGTTGTCCCTGAGCTCTTCAGCTCAAGGTGAGCACTCTACCACTTGAGCTACAGTGCACTTCCGGTTTTCTGGTGTTTTATTGGAGATCGGACTCTCACGGTCTTTCCTGCCTGGGCTGGTTTTGAACCGTGATCCTCAGATCTTAGCCTCTGGGGTAGCTAGGATTACAGGTATGGGCCACTGGCCCCCAGCATTCATTGATCCACCTTTAAAACCCAGGACCTCACTAGAATATCTGAGACAGCATGGCTTTTTCCAAGAGAATTTTACTAAAAACCAACATATGTTGATGAAAGAGGAAAGAAAGAAAGGAGAGAGAGAGAGAGAGAGAGAGAGAGAGAGAGAGAGAGAGAGAGAGAGAGAGAGAGAACAGAAAACATTAACAAGATACAATCCTACAATCCTTAGCCTGGTCTCTGACTTCAGATTAATTACATTCTAGACCCCCAAGGCTTCTTTGCTAGATTCAATATCACAAGCTCTAAGACTGTGGCTAGCATACCCTTGTTTCTTTGCAAGTATAAAATTTCCATCCCTGCTGAAATAAAAAGCAAACCACAAAACTCTATCTCATAGCTTTTTTGAAGCATCCACCTCCTTTCAACTAACAGGCAGAATAGCTGGAAAGTCACCAAGGGGACTCCCTGGGGGCTCAGGAAGTCTCTACCACATACTTTTTTTTAAGCATGCCAAGAAATTTTACCCATGGGATGGCTGGATTTGCCTTGGGATTTCTGACATTGTCTGAGAAACTAAGAATAGCTCAAGAAAGAAGGGACCTAACAAATTATGAAGTTTTCAACATGTGGTAGAGACTTTACACATGTAAATTTTACCAAAACCTTTGAGGTAGGTATCTATCACTAGTTATATTTTGTAGGATTTAGAACTCTAAGGGGTTAGTGACTTGCATTTATTCTTTAAGATACTGAGCGGCCATTTAAGGAAAGGACAACAGCCTGAGAGTTTTAAGTGGAAGAGGCTAAATACATAGAATAAAGCTAGGGTTGGTGGCTCATACCTATAATCCCCTTATTTACAATTAACCAACAAAAAGCTAGAAGTAGAGGTATGGCTCAAATCGTCTAGTACCAGCCTTGTGAAAAAGCTAAGTAGGAGCAAGTTCAAACTCCAACATGGGGATAAAACAAAACAACCCCCCAAAACAAACAAACAAACAAATGAACAAACTGAATAGCAATGGAGTTTGGTTCTGGCATGGACATTACATGCTAGTTGCCTCTGGCCCAAATCTCTAAAGCTGGTTATAAAAGTCTTTTTGGCCAGTTGCCGGTGGCTCACGCCTGTAATCCTACCTGCTCAGGAGGCTGAGATCTGAGGATTGTGATTCAAGGCCAAGGAAAATCTGTGAAACTCTTATTTATAATAAACCACCAGAAAACCAGAAGTAGTGCTGTGGCTCAAGTGGTAGAGCGCTAGCCTTGAGCTGAAGAGCTCAGGGACAGTGTCCAGGCCCAGAGTTCAAGCCCTGTGACCGACCACAAAAAAAAAAAAAAGTCTTTTTGATTAGGCTGATCTCAAGGAGGTGAGTGGGAATATGAGATGGGTGTGTTGACACCTTTTACACATTTACAATGGTTAGTGTGATGACCACAAACATATGGACTGTAAAGCTGAGGAAATGAGACAGGCAGATGAGCTAATAAAGAGACAAAAATATTTTGAGGGAGGAGAAATTGTTTATTAAAAATGAATGAGAAAATATTGTAAAACTGTGAAACTGCCCTATTTCCTTGAAGTTTCCAGACGGCCTTTTTTTTGCTAGGGAAAAGACTTCAGGTTCGTAGTATTCTAGGCTAGAAGTAAAAACTGAATTACAATTCTACTACCCTTGGCAGTTCTATAACTCTAGGTGACTTATTCTGCCTATTGGTATGTCAGCTCAGAAATGGGAGTGATGTTAGATACGTTTTTAGTGGGATTTCCAGAAAGAGTTATGATAAACAACAGCTATGAAGTATGTATCACAGGACATTTTTTTCTTTCTCTGGGCCAGGAGATCTGACTGGGGATCACAAAAGTTTTCTGGGGTTAAAAAAAGAAAGCAACAGGCACCTGTTATTTGCATAGTGCTTTATGCTCTCCGGTTTACAAAGCGTTTTCAGATACCATCACAATTGATCCTTTGCACATCTGTGAGTATAATTACTGTCCCTATCTTATAGGTGAGAAATCACATCACAGAGTCAATCAGCTTAATTAATTAATTAATTAACTTATCCTGGTGACACCTGCTACTCTGGCACAGGCCTCAAACTCACAGTAGCACCTAATTCTATCACTAGACATTCCCAACAACCCACAATAGTCAAGGGTCATCTTCATGTTTACTATGCAACAATGTCTGGGTGTAGTTTGGAAAGTTATTTGTGTTCATTTGTGGATAATCAGATCGGTCATGGATTCTACTTTTCTTTTTTCTTTTCTTTGAGTGTCTATGTAGTCCAGGCTGGTCTTGAACTGGGGATCTTCCTGCATCAGCTGGGACTATAGACTTGTTCTGCCACACAGAGTTCTAATCAACAGCCTCTTGTGAAAACAGGGGTTGTCCAGAGAATTAGCATGGGGAAATAAACCATTTAAAATCTTTAGACACAATATCTGTTTATCAGCGGACTGAAATATCTCTTCCTTTTTGGGTGACGGATTGTAGGGGCCGTGTTCCCCTTTAGACCAAAGAATCTCACTCTTAACAAAATTCTGTTTTCCATTCTCAGCACTCTGTATATAGGGCCTGTCTAGAGGCAGGGCCTCAGGGTGTCAGGAAGACGTTGTGTCAGGCCCAGGTGTGGGTGAACTGCCTATGCACAGACCTGCCAAGGCGGTTAGGGTGGACTTGGGAGGGAGCCAGTTTTTCTTCTCTGGCCGCAGCTGGGTCTCGGAACTGGGGAAGCTGGAGCACGTGTGGTCTTCCTGGCCTCGGGGCCCGCAGCCCTCAAGCCGCCTGGGTAACCTTGGCTTCCAGCTTCCCCAGAGAGCTACTGCATCGGAGAGTTTGCACAGAGCTGGGTGCTGGGGTTGGGGGGACCCCCGAGGTCACTGATCCTGGGGTTCCCCAGAGGTGGAAGCAGGTGGCAAGATTCTCAGAATGGGGCCGGTACCCTCAGGCGTCTCCCCGCGGGCCGGGTCGGTGCGAGTGTGAGGGTGTAGGTGTGTGTGTGTGTGTGTGTGTGTGTGTGTGTGTGTGTGTGTGTGTGTGTGTGTGTGTGTGTGTGTGTGTGTGTGTGTGTGTGTGTGTGTGTGTGTGTAGGCTGAGGCTTGTGGCCCAGGTCCACCCAGCAGCTAGACCCCCCTCCCCCCGCCCCTCCCGCGCCCCTCCCCTCCCCCACCCCCACCCTGCACTTCCCGCCCGCGGTCCCCGCGCGGCCCGCTCGCCTCCACTCGCCCGGCGCTGGGGGCGGGCACAGCCCCCACCCTCGGCGTCCCCTCCCCCCTCTCCCGTGGCGGCGGCGGCGGCGGCGGCGGCGGCGGCGGCGGAGGCTGAGGCGGCTGAGGCGACCCAGGCGGCGGCGGCAGCGGCGGCGGCGGGCGGGGCTCGGGCTCCGCGGGCGGGCGGGCGGACATGGCGGCCAACATGTACCGGGTCGGAGGTAGGAAGGCTCGGCCCGACCCGGCCCGTCTCGGAGCGAGGCTGTGGGAGTCGGGGGTTCGGGCGAGCGCACGCCAACTGCCGGGAGCGTCGGGCGCCCGGGCGGAGCGCGCCGGGGAGGGCGCGGGGCCCGCAGGGGAGGGGGCGGGGGACCGGGAGAGGGGGGCTGGGGCTCCCGGCGGCCCACCCTCGGCCCCTCGCCCCGCCCGGGCCCCCAGCGCCGGGCCTCTCCCCTGGGGGGTGAATTACACATGCCCCTTCCACGAAACCCCCGTCAGAGTCGGGCCGGTCGGGACCCCTGGCTGGGTGGCTTTTTCCTCGCTTGGCCTTTGGGGGAGCATGGAGGGGGACACCCCCTCCCCAGCCCCCCCTTTCCCCCCCCGCGGTGGCAGTGTGGGGCGGGGACGGGGACGGTGGGCCCAGCCTGGGACACAGCTGGACGAGGCCTGTTCCCCGGGCCAGGGCCCTGCACCTTCCCTTCCTGGTTGCCCCCTTCGGTTTGTCGCCCACCTACCCCCCCTCCCACCCCCCCTTCAAGAACGGGGTTGCCTGGGGCCGGGGAGCCCCGCAGCCGGTGGAGAGGGAGTTGAGCGCAACCTGGACGTTTGCTCTGCTGTCTGCCTTCCCTGCCTTCTGCAGAAGAGAGAAATAAGGTCAAACAAACTTTCTCCCTGCTCACGACGCCCTCCTCCCTCTTTGCTGGTAAAATAATAATTCAGATGAGTGGCGTGTTGGTGAGTGAGACTTGCTCTTCCTCTGCCCATTAGCTGAGCTCCTGATGGATGACGGTGGGAATGGCCTGGCTAAATGAGGCCACTTTGCAGAGCTACCAGGGTGGACATTAAGCAATGCAGTCCAACCTCTCACACACGAAGTGGGAAGTTTCCAGTAAACCTGTGAGAGTGGAGTATTTCTATGCTTTTGGTTGAAAGCTTGCAATGATTTTTTTTTTTGGTAGCATGAACTTAAATGGGTCTAAAGTAAATACGCCAAAAGAGTGAAAATAGTCCAACATCATCCCACAGAGTACTGCCCCTCAGCAAGTGACCCCTCATTTTCTCAGGTAGAGCTTTGGAAAAGTTTGCCACTGAGCTTTCTCTTCCCTTAACTCTGCTCACCTGATCTTTAAAAAAAATTGTTTTTGGTGATTGAAATTTAAGTTAAAACATCCTTGCTCTGAATTTGTCTTAGGTCAACAGTTTGACATAAGAAGCATTATTCCAGGGCAAATTGGATTAGGGGAAAAGGATGTGGAAGAAATTTAGAGGATGAGTCTAGTGTAGTGAGCCCTGATCACTCAGTGATGAAGAGGTTTTTGTTTACTAAAGAAATTATGCTCACCATGGTTATGTCAGGCACCACTAATCCCTGCACTTGAGACAAAGGATAGCAAGTTCAAGGCTAGCCTAAACTACATAGGAACAGCCTATCTTAAAAAAAACAAAAACAAAAAAGACTTAGAAAGAAAGTATAGCTCCTGTGGCTCAAGCCTGTAATTCCAGCTACTGAGAGGCTGAGATCTGAGGGTCCAGGTTGGAAGCCAGTAAGGAGAAGGAAAGTTCATGAGACTCATTTCTAGTTAAGTAGTGTGGCTCAAGTGGTAGAGACAACCTTGAGTGGAAAAAACTAAGGGACAGTGCCCAGGCTCTGAGTTCAAGCCATAATACTTGCACAAAAGCAAACAATAATAAAAAACAGAATATTAATTGAAATGGAAATACCAGAAAAAAAAGGTTTGTGAGTAGTAGGCACATGAGACAATATATTAAGGTTGTATTACCAATAAATAACTGCTTAATTGCCAAATACAGAAAATTATGGATTGCCATATGTGAACTTCCTGTTGAAAAGATTAAATTTTATAACTTCCTTTGGTTACAGATTATGTGTACTTTGAAAATTCTTCCAGCAACCCATATCTAATCAGAAGAATAGAAGAACTTAACAAGGTATACACTGTTATTCATCCTAATATTGCAAACTATATTCCACTGAATATAATTGGGTAAAAGAACTTTTTTGTATGTGTGCTGTTCTTGGGGTTTTAACTCAGAATCTGGATGCTGTCCTTGAGCTTTTTTTGCTCAAAGCTAGTGCTATACTACTTAAGCCACAGTCTGACTTCCAGTTTTTGGGTAGTTAATTGGAGATGAGAGTATCATGGACTTCCTGCCTAGTCTGGCCTTGAACTTCATTCCTCAGATATCAGCCTCCTGAATAGCAAAGGTTACATGAATAAGCCACCATGCCTAGCAATAAGTATTTTTATTTTTAGTTCTAGACTCTGAAAATAGTTTTGTGTGTGTGTGTTTTGCCAGTCCTGGAGCTTGAACTCAGGGCCTAGGCATTGTCCCTGAGCTTCTTTTGCTCAAGGCTAGCACTCTACCACTTGAGCCACAGCACTACTTCTGGCCTTTTCTATGTATGTGGTACTGAGGAATGGAACCTAGGGCCTCATGCTTGCTGGGCAAGCACTCTACCACTAAGCCACATTTCTAGCCCTGAAAGTAGTTTTATGTTAGTATTATATATGTAAGATTCTTAATATTCTTTTGGGGCTGGGAATGTGGTTTAGTGGTAGAGTGCTTGTGTAGCGTGCATGAAGCCCTGGGTTCCATTCGTCAGTACCACATAAACAAACAAAAAAAAAAACAGATTAAAAATAAATATATTTTTACTTTTTTGGTAGTTACTTTCTCTGGTTTTAAACATTTTTATTGTATTTTATTGTATTGTATTGTATTTCTTCACTTTGTAGAGTCTTGAAGTTCAAGTAACTTCTATAATATAATTTTATTTATTTTATGTTGGTTCTGGGGCTTGAACTAAGGGCCTGGACACTGTCCTTTAGCTTTCTCTGGTCAATGCTAAGTTTGCTATAGCTCCACTTCTGGCATTTTGCTAGTTAATTAGAGACAACAGTCTCATGGACTTTGCTGCCTTGCCTGGTTTTCAGCCTCCTGAGTAGCTAGAATTTACAGATGTGAGCCATTACTGCCTGGTTTATTTTATTTTATTAGCGTACATTACTTTTTTTTTTCTGGTCATGGGGTTTGAATTCTGGGCCTGGACACTGTCCCTGAGTCCTTCAGGGTGAGCACTCTACCATTTGAGCCACAGCGCCACTTCAGTTTTCTGGTGGTTAATTGGAGATAAGAGTCTCATGGACTTTCCTGCCCAGGCTGATTTTGAACTGAGATGCTCAGAACTCAGTCTCCTTAGCTAGGGTTACAGGCATGAACCACTGTCGCCTGGCTCATACATTCCTTTTTGGTGAAGGATTTCATATTTGTCAACCTTACTCTGTTACTCTCCCTTTTCCCTTTCTGAAAGAATTTCAACAGGTTCTGTTTTCATATATTTAAACAATTCATTTCTGCATATTCATCGTCTTTCATTCTTCTTCTTTTATGTCAGTCATGGGGCTTGAACTCAGGGCCTGGGGTGCTCTCCCTGAGCTCTTTTGCTCAGGGCTAGTGCTCTACCACTTTGAGCCATAGAACCACTTCTGGTTTTCTGCTGGTTAATTGGAGATGAGTCTTATGGTCTTTCCTGTCCAAGCTGGTTTTGAACCATGATCTTGAGATCTCAGCCTCTTGAGTAGCTAGAATTTCAGACATGAGCCATTGGCGCCCAGCTTCTTTCATTCTTTGTGTTGGCCCATTTTTTTTTTTTTTTGATCAAACCCAAGGCCTTTTACATGCTAAACAAGTGCTCTACTACCTAGCTGCAATCTAGCTCCTTAAAATCAATGCTAGTTATTCTTCTTGTTGCAGGTCCAGGTACGTGAACTCAGGGTTCCTGAGCTTCTTTTGCTCAAGAGTAGTGCTCTTCCACTTGAGCCACAGCTTTACTTTTGGCTTTTTTGGTAGTTTATTGGAGATATATTTCAGTGTCTCACAGACATTCTGGAAGGGGTGACTTCAAACCATGCTTCTCATATCTCAGCCTCTTGAGTATCTAGGATTACAGGTGTTAGCCCTCAGTGCCTAGCTTTTTTTTTTTTTTTTTAAGAAATTGTCAGGGCTGGCAATGTGGTTTAGGGGTAGAGTGCTTGCCTAGCATACATGAAGCCCTGGATTTCATTCCTCAGTACCACATAAATAGAAAAAGCCAGAAGTGACACTGTGGCTCAAGTGGTAGAGTGCTAGCCTTCAGCAAAAGAAGTCTAAGCCCTGAGTTTTTTGCCAGCCCCAGGCCTGGCAAAAAAAAAAAAAAAAAGAAAAGAAAAGAAAAAAAATGTCTCTGAATGAGGTCTTAGCTGGTTTCAAACTTGTCCTTATCCTCTGCTTTAGCCTTCTTATTGCTGTAATTATAAGCATGTACTACGATACCCAGTTCAAAACTAACTTTTTCTTGTTGTTGTTGTATCTGTTATGGGGCTTGAACTCAGGGCCTGGGTGCTGTCTTTGAAGTCTTTTGCTCAAAGCTAGTGCTCTACACTTTGATCCACAGAACGACTTCTAGTTTTCTGGTCGTTACTTGGAGATAGAGTCTCGTGGACTTTCATGCCTGGGCTGGCTTTGAATATTGATCCTTAGATCTCAGCTTCCTTAGTACCTAGGATTATAGGCATGAGCCACTGGCACTTGGCTTTTTTTTTGGTCATGGGGCTTGAACTCTGGGCTTGGTTGTTATCCTCACACTCTTCCTGCTTGAGCTACTGTGTGTGCCACTTCCGGTTTTCTAGTGGTTAATTGGAGATAAGAGTCTCATGGAATTTTCTGCCCAGGCTGGTTTTGAACTGTGATCCTCAGATCTCAGCCTCCTCAGTAGCTAGGTGTGAGTCACTGGCACCTGGCTTGGCTAACTTTTATTTTTAAATAATACATCCACCTCCTATTCCTATATGCATTAAAAAAAATATACTAGGAACAGTAGTGGATTGGCACTAGACAGTGTAACATTTTTGAATAATTAAATTTCAGGAGAGGCCTTTGGCATAAATGTGTGCATTTTCTATAGGAAAGAGGGATAATATATCACAGTTGCAAAAACTATCTGATGGCCCTTGTGTACATGGTCTAGAAGAGATTTTTTTTTTTAGTGCTAGGAATTGAATCCAAGCATGCACTCCTCCAAAGAAAATATTTATTTTGAAATATGTCTCTATCTCTCAAGCAGGTTTAAATCAGAATTTAAAAATGTTTGTAGAGCATCCCTCTTTGGGGGAATGGGAGAACCCCTAATAATGAGATTTGTAGTTGAAGTCATGGATAGAATTTATCTACCTAAATATTTGCCTGCCTGTTCATTTAGCAGATTACTAGATTGTTACTTCTGAAGAATGTGTTTGATCAGTGTATTATGAAATATGGCAACATTTTGATTAGGAATTTAATATGATTTCAGGTTTTTTTTTTGTTGTTGTTGGTCATGGGGCTTGAACTCTGGGCCTGAACTCTGTCCCTTAGCTCTTCAGCTTAAGGCTAGTGCTGTACCACTTGAGCCACTGTGCCACTTTCGGTTTTCTGAGTGGTTCATTGGAGATAAGTCTCTCACGTATTTACCTGCCTGGGCTGGCTTTGAACTATGATCCTCAGATCTCAGCCTCCTGAGTAGCTAGGATTACAGGCGTGAGTCACCAGCGCCCGGCTCATGATTTCAGTTTTAAGGGGGCAATATTTTCACAGTGCCATTCTTCACTCTGAAATACTGCTGCTGAACTTCATAAAATTGACAACTTTATTCCAGGGCAGATATTCTTAATTCTTTTTGTTTTAATATACCTGTAAGCCTAGAGAAATTCTGAAAACATACTCTCAAATTTGTTAGCAACTGAGAATTACAGTAGCATTTTAGTGTAATCTATGTGTTTTTTGAAGAACTTTGTAATAAGTGATTGACCTTCTTGAAAATTCTCAGAATTCATAGAGAATAGGAGGATAAGAGTCTGGACCTCAGCTGCAGTAAATTACAACCTCACTGAATATTGATTGTATTCTAGATTACAGTCAAAAAGGAATAAGAGCTTTAGTGTTCATAACTCAAGGCTTTTAATACTTTCACATGGGAAGATAGCAATAAGTACTACTAAGAATACTGTCTATGCGGACTCATATCTCCTTGGGGTGGAGGATGGGTGCCTTTTTAGGTCATCTGCTCCATTTTGTATAAAGGCTGCTGCCACTTACAGAGATTTACTTTAAGTTGAGTGTGGATGTTTAGGGGAGACTCTGGGTGGTTTTATAGTTAGCTTTTGTTTTCTGGGGATTGGTTTGGAGAAGATAGGTTCAAATGTCATAAATTATATGTGGCTTTTAAAATTTGAAGACTGATTTCTTAAGACTGATCACAACTAACTATCTCTGGCTTTAATCATTAAACTGATACCAACACAGTGATATAATTGATGCCAGTAAGTTTTTGTATATTTGACATTGTAGTTTCTTACTAAGAACCTGGACAAATACTACTGCCTCTGATTATCTTGTAGTTGTAGTTGGAACAGTATTGAAGTTGATCTTAAGCTGGGTCTGTGGCTTATGTTTGGAACCCTACCTAGCTAGCTGATCAGGAGGCTGAGAGTTGAGGATCATTGTTCAAAGCTAGCTTGGGCAGGAAAGCCCATGAAACTCCTGTCTCCAATTAACCACTAGAAAACTGGAAGTAGCTTTTTGGTTCAAAGTGTTGGAACACTAGCCTTGAGCAAAAAGCTCAAGGGGCAGTGCCCAGGTCCTTAGTACAAGCCCCACAACCAAAAAATAAAAATAAAATAAACCCTGATTTTGTAATTATCCTGTATCAGTTCATTCAATAAGTTATTTGACAGTTCATATGAAAAATTGTACCGTGGTTCTTATGAATGCTAAGGACGTGCTTTGTCTTTGAGTCACACTTCCCAGCTCCCACATAACTTATTTTCTTATTTCTTAGACTGCAAGTGGCAACGTGGAAGCAAAAGTAGTGTGCTTTTATAGACGACGAGATATTTCCAACACGCTTATAATGCTTGCGGACAAGCATGCTAGTAAGTTAAATGTCCTTCTCTTAGGTCAAAAAATGTTTAAATCTTGTGTTTTTGATATGAGAAAAAATTGTAACCTGAAACATTTTCCTGTTAATTGTGTGAAATATTTGCTTTTAATTTGCTCTGTGTGTGTGTGTGTGTGTGTTTTGTGCCAGTACTAGGGCTTGAACTCCATCTGGGCCTTGTGCTCTTGCTCTGTGTTTCTAGTCAACTCAGTGCTATACTTGAGCCATGCCTCCAATTTTGGCTTTCTGCTGGTTAATTGGAGATAAGAATCTTGAAGATTTATCTAACTGGGCTGACTTTGAACTGTAATCTTCAGAAATCAGCCTCATGAGGATTAGAGGCACTAGAATTAGAAGTGCCTGCTTTCCTTCTGTTTTAAATAGAAACAGGTTTTTTTTTTTGTGACATTTGGATTGATGTATATATGTATCTTTTCCCCTCCCCCTGCTAGAGGTTGCTCAAGGCCTTTTGCCTGCTAGTCAAGTGCTCTATCACTGAGCTACACTCCCAGCTCCATTTAACTTTTTTAGGTTATATCATATAGAATTTTATTTTATTTTATTTTTGTCAGTCATGGGGCCTGAACTCTAGGCCTGAGCACTGTCCCTCAGCTCTTCAGCTCAAGGATAGCGCTCTACCATTTGAGCCACAGAGCTACTTCCGGCATTTTCTGCTTTTGTGGTGTTGAGGAATCGAACCCAGGGTCTCATGCCTGCAAAGCAAGCACTCTACCACTGAGCCACCTTCCCAGCCCCCTAGAATTTTATTAAATAATTAAAATGTTCAGCCTAGTGCTGGTGGCTCAGGCCTCTATAATCCTAGCTACTCAGGAGGCTGAGATCTGAGGATCATGGTTCAAAGCAAGCTCAGGCAGGAAAGTTCATGAGACTCTTTAATCTCCAATTAGTCACACCAGAAAACCAGAAGTGGCACTGTGGCTCAAAGTGGTAGAGTGATAGCCTTGAGTGAAAGAGCTCAGGGACAGCACCTAGGCCATAAGTTCAAGCCCCAAGACTGATTTAAAAAAAAATTGAAATAGAAGTCTTATGGGAACACATACAAAGGACAATGTCCTGTTCTCAGTTTTCTGAGGATACAAATATGAGGAAATTTATACTTCATTGATATTTTGGAGGCATTTTTATCTTTTCAAACAACTGGGTATGAAACTCATTTTTGAAAAACTGCAAGAAAGAGAGGTAGGAGAAAGAGAAATAGAGCTGGGTGTGTAGTTCAAGTGGTAGAGGTCCTGCCCAGCAAACAAGAGGCCCTGAGTTCAAACCTTAGTACTATAAAAAAAAAATATGTAAATATTGGTTGCATTGGGTATGGGGGCACACTGCTATATTCCCAGCACTTTGGAATCTGAGGGAGGAATATCAAACGTTTGAGGCTACATATTGAGACCCTATCTCAAAAACAAACAAAAATTCAAGAAAATAGTGGGAATGAATATGGCCAAATTATTCATGTATGGAAAATGATGCAACAAAATCTCCCATATTATATAATTAATAGTAATAAAGATGTGGGAAAAAGAAAACTGGGTAATATTTTGATTTGTATTACAAGAATTAATTATGATATATTTATAGTATTAGGTGTATATGCACATAAAGTACAAAGAAAAAGTACAAAGTGGTATTAGATACCAGAGTTCTTTTTTTTTTTTTTTGTCAGTCATGGGGCTTGAACTCTGGGCCTGGGCGCTGTCCCTCAGCTCTTCAGCTCAAGGCGAGCGCTCTACCACTTGAGCTACAGCGCCACTTCCGGTTTTCTGGTGGTTTATTGGAGATAGGAGTCTCACGGTCTCTCCTGCCCGGGCTGGCTTTGAACCGCGATCCTCAGATCTCAGCCTCCTGAGTAGCTAGGATTACAGGCGTGAGCCACCAGCACCCGGCTAGATACCAGAGTTCTTTTTGTTGGTGGTGGTCATGGGGCTTGAATTCAGGGCTTGGTTGCTGTGCCTGAGTTCTTTTTCTTGTCAAAGTTAGTGCTCTACCATTTTGGGCTACATTACCACTTCTGGTTTTCTGCTGGTTAATCATGGGGAAAAGGGAGGAGGGGAGAGGGAGGGAACAAGAGAAAACTAGGGAGGAGGTAACACTGGTCTAAAGAAATGGACTCAGTACCTTACTTAACTGTAACCTCTCTATATATCACCTCTACAATAAATTAAATTAAAAAAAAAAAGTCTCACGGACTTTCCTACTGGGGCTAGCTTTGAACAGATCCTCAGACCTGAGTAGCTAGGAGTACAGGTGTGAGCCACCACCACATGGCCTAGAATTCTTATGGTTAAAAACATAGTGTTTTTTTTTTTTTCTGCAATATGATTATGATTGTGTTATTTCCTAGTCATTGTTGATAGATTTTTAGCCCTTTGATTTTTCAAAAGAGCAACACACTGAAAAAAACTGCTTTAGAGCCTGAATATGTAGCTTGGTGGTTGACTTATGTGCTTAACTAGAGTTTCTACGATTAATCCTCAGCCCAAAATGGAAAAAGTGATGTAAATTTTAAGAATTTAGGTATAATAATGCATTTCTGTAATTCCAACAGAATGAAAGGTGAGGCAGGAGCGTGGTTAGTTCCAGAACCAACTAAGCTACATTGTAAGACCCTCTCTACAATATCTTCCTGCAGTTTTTTATTTAAAGAAAAATAAATGTATAATAATAGTATTTTGTGTGGCTTATTTCTTCTCTCTCTCCCTTCCTTCCTTCCTTTCTTCCTTCCTTCCTTCCTTCCTCCCTTCCTTCCTCTCCATCCCTCTCCCTCCCTCCTTCTCTCTCTTTCTCTCTTTCTTTCTTTCGTTCTTTTGTTCTTTCGTTCTTTCCTTCCTTCCCTCCCTCCCTCCGTCCCTCCCCTCTCTTTTTACCCCATGTCTGTCCTAGGGCTTGAAGTCAGGGCTAGGGCGCTGTCCCTGAGCTTTTGTGCTCAAGGCTAGCACTCTACCACTTGAGCCAAAGTTCCACTTCTGGCTTTTTTGGTAGTTAATTAGAAATAAGAGTCTCAGGAACTGTTTGTCCTGCCTGCTCTGGCTTTGAATCGTGATCCTCAGATCTCAGCCTCCTGAGTAGCTAGGGGGTTCTAGTTGTGAGCCACTGGCACACAACTAGATGTTTTGTTTGTTTTTTCAGATCTTGGACTAGAACCCATGCTAGGCAAGCACTCCACTACTGAGCTATATCCCCTAAAATATTTTAATTTGAAAGCCAGTTTCTTCCTACAGAATATATAATGGGATTGTAGTATGTCATTTGGGCTTTTGCAGTTTAATTCTGTGCTCTGTAGTACTGTGATTGTATAATAGAGTAAGCCAGGCTATTGTTTGAAATGTTGGCAGTTTAAGTAGGCATATGGTTTGTTTGATAATTCCTGCTGTACACTCTGCTGTCATAGTGGTTTTTTTTTAATTTTCTTTTTTCTTCCTCTTTTTTTTTTTGCTGGTCTTGGGTCTTGTACTCAGCCTGGAGAGCTGTCCCCTGAGCCTCTTTGGCTCAAGGCTAGTGTTCTGCCACTTGAGCCACAGTACCACATCTGGCCTTTTCTGAGTTTATTGGAGATAAGAGTCATGGACTTTCCTGCCTGGGCTGGCTTTGAATCATGATCCTCATATTTCAGCCTCCTGAGTAGCTGGGATTGCAGGCATTAGCTACCATTGCCAGGCTTCTTATTTTCTATTTTGTATACAAAGTACAACGTGTGTGTGTGTGTGTGTGTGTGTGTGTGTGTGTGTGTGTGTATGTGTGTGTGTGTGTGTGTGTGTAGTACAGCGCGCGTGTGTGTGTGTAGTACAGCATGTGTATGTGTAGTACAGCGTGTGTGTGTGTGTGTGTGTGTGTATGTGCAGTACAGCTTGTGTATGTGTAGTACAGCGTGTGTGTGTGTGTGTGTGTAGTACAGCGTGTGTGTGTGTAGTACAGCATGTGTGTGTGTGTGTGTGTGTGTGCGCACGCACGTGCACGCACACACACACACACACCAATCCTGGAGCTTGAACTCAGGGCTTGGGTTCTTAAGCTTTTTTGCTCAAGGCTAGTGCCCTACCACTTGAGTCACAGCTTCACTTCTGGCTTTTTTTTTGTGCTTAATTGAAGATAAGAGTCTCATGGACTTTCCTGCTCAGGCTGTGATCCTCAACTCTCAGCTCTCAGCCTCCTGAATTAGAATTACAGACATGAGCCATAGGTGCCTGGCTCTATTTTGTATACAAAGTACTGTATTGCAAATTGAATGATATTTTCAAGTTATATATTGAAAACTTCAGCGGTCTGAGAGTGTAGTTTAAGAGTTAGAATACTTGACCCTGTGTTCAAACCCCTGTACCGTCAGTAAAAGAAAAATTCAAGGCATTCATATTTCCCACTCATAAATGAGACCATGAAATGTAAATATTCTATTTATGAATTAAAAAATTTAAATACAGGATCTTACTTTGCAGTCTAGGGTGCTCTAGGACTTAATATACAGCCCAAGCTGACCCAAGATCTCAGTTTGTCCTGTGCATATGTTCTACACTGAGCTATACGTCCATCACCCAAATCTATAAACACCTTATTAAACTTTATAAAGCTGGACATGATGGCACACACCTACAGTCCTATCACTTGGGAGGCTGGTGGACTGCCACTCCATGCCTGTCTAGGCTAGTGAGACCCTGTCTCAAAACAAATACAACACAGGGGGCTGGTAAGGTGGCTCAGTGGTAGTGCTTGCCTTGCATGAGGCCCTGGGTTCGATTCCTCAGCACCACATAAGCAGAAAAAGCTGGAAGTGGTGCTGTGGCTCAAGTGGTAGAGCACTAGCCTTGAGCTGAAGAGCTGAGGGACAGTACCCAGGCCCAAAGTTCAGGCACCATGACTGGCAAAAAAACAAATACAACACACACACAGAGACATACATGTGCAGACTTAGGCACACATATATACAAAGAACAAATGAGATAAAAGGAGAAATTGTTGAAACAAAGTACATTTCCATATAGATGA